AACTAATTTATGCAGCAGCCCAATCGCTCGCTCACAACTTGTTCCCTCTAAACTGAGTTAGTGTGAGCTATTTCACAGTTTTCTAGCCTCCGGCTCACACATTTTTGTCTCCGCTCAGGAAGGAGGGCTCCAGAGCAAACAAATTTATGCAGCAGCCCAATCGCTCGCTCACAACTTGTTCCCCTCTAAGCTGAGTTAGTGTGAGCTGGCTCACAATTTCTTAGCCTCCGGCTCACACATTTTTGTCTCCGCTCAGGAAGGAGGGCTCCAGAGCAAACAAATTTATGCAGCAGCCCAATCGCTCGCTCACAACTTGATCCCCTCCTCACAACTTGTTCCCCTCTAAGCTGAGTTAATGTGAGCTGGCTCACAGTTTCTTAGCCTCCGGCTCACACATTTTTGCCTTCGCTCAGGAAGGAGGCCTCCAGAGCAAACTCATTGATGCAGTAGCCCAATCACTTGCTCACAACTTAATGCCAGTAGCTCACAAAGTAGAATTTCTGCTTACAAGACTCCACAGCTTAGGCTAGGCACAGAGTTCCGAACGATCCAAGGCACTGTACAGATAGTTCTGGGCAACCCCCCCCACCCACTCCCCCCATCCCCACCTCCAAACTGTAATCTTTCGCATGCGTGGCCCGATCCTCTATGGTCCGCAGCTCTTCCAGGCTGAGTCGCTTGGCATAGAAGTGCGCCACCACTCGCTGCGGCTTCTCGGTGGCGTGGGAGCTCACGTGGTCGCACTCCAAGACACGCAGGAAGGCAGCGCCTGGACCCAGCTCTTCCCGGAGCTCACGGTTCAGACCGTCTTCCAGAGAGGCATCCTCCGAATCCACAAATCCGCCCGGGAAACCCAGGCACCCGTCAAACCTCATCTGCATCTGTAAAGGAAGGGGACAGCGACAGCATGGTCTGCATGGGAGAATTTCCCATTCAGGAGGCGGCCTTAAATGGAATCAGATCACTGCTCCATCAAGGACAATATTGCCTACTCGGACTGGCAGCAGCTCTCCAGGGTCTTAGGTAGAGGTCCTCCACATCACCGCCGGAGATTGAACCAGGGAACTTCTGCGTGCCAAGTAGAGGCCGTGCCACTGAGCCATGGCCCCTCCCCAGAATGGAACTCTCCCATGTAGCTGCCCTTTACTGAATCAGACCTTCTTGGTCCATCATGGTCAGTACTGCCCGCTCAGACTGGCAGCAGCTCTCCAGGGTCTTAGGTAGAGGTCCTTCACATCACCACCGGAGATTGAACCAGGGAACTTCTGCGTGCCAAGCAGAGGGTCTGCCACTGAGCCAGGGTCTCAGGTTGAGGTCTTTCCCATCACCTCCTGCCTGGTCCTTTTAGCTGGAGATGCCAGGGATTGAACCTGGGACCTTCTGCATGCCAAGCAAAGGCTCTGCCACTGAGCCAGGGTCTCAGGTTGAGGTCTTTCCCATCACCTCCTGCCTGGTCCTTTTAGCTGGAGATGCCAGGGATTGAACCTGGGACCTTCTGCATGCCAAGCAAAGGCTCTGCCACTGAGCCAGGGTCTCAGGTTGAGGTCTTTCCCATCACCTCCTGCCTGGTCCTTTTAGCTGGAGATGCCAGGGATTGAACCTGGGACCTTCTGCATGCCAAGCAAAGGCTCTGCCACTGAGCCAGGGTCTCAGGTTGAGGTCTTTCCCATCACCTCCTGCCTGGTCCTTTTAGCTGGAGATGCCAGGGATTGAACCTGGGACCTTCTGCATGCCAAGCAAAGGCTCTGCCACTGAGCCAGGGTCTCAGGTTGAGGTCTTTCCCATCACCTCCTGCCTGGTCCTTTTAGCTGGAGATGCCAGGGATTGAACCTGGGACCTTCTGCATGCCAAGCAAAGGCTCTGCCACTGAGCCAGGGTCTCAGGTTGAGGTCTTTCCCATCACCTCCTGCCTGGTCCTTTTAGCTGGAGATGCCAGGGATTGAACCTGGGACCTTCTGCATGCCAAGCAAAGGCTCTGCCACTGAGCCAGGGTCTCAGGTTGAGGTCTTTCCCATCACCTCCTGCCTGGTCCTTTTAGCTGGAGATGCCAGGGATTGAACCTGGGACCTTCTGCATGCCAAGCAAAGGCTCTGCCACTGAGCCAGGGTCTCAGGTTGAGGTCTTTCCCATCACCTCCTGCCTGGTCCTTTTAGCTGGAGATGCCAGGGATTGAACCTGGGACCTTCTGCATGCCAAGCAAAGGCTCTGCCACTGAGCCAGGGTCTCAGGTTGAGGTCTTTCCCATCACCTCCTGCCTGGTCCTTTTAGCTGGAGATGCCAGGGATTGAACCTGGGACCTTCTGCATGCCAAGCAAAGGCTCTGCCACTGAGCCAGGGTCTCAGGTTGAGGTCTTTCCCATCACCTCCTGCCTGGTCCTTTTAGCTGGAGATGCCAGGGATTGAACCTGGGACCTTCTGCATGCCAAGCAAAGGCTCTGCCACTGAGCCAGGGTCTCAGGTTGAGGTCTTTCCCATCACCTCCTGCCTGGTCCTTTTAGCTGGAGATGCCAGGGATTGAACCTGGGACCTTCTGCATGCCAAGCAAAGGCTCTGCCACTGAGCCAGGGTCTCAGGTTGAGGTCTTTCCCATCACCTCCTGCCTGGTCCTTTTAGCTGGAGATGCCAGGGATTGAACCTGGGACCTTCTGCATGCCAAGCAAAGGCTCTGCCACTGAGCCAGGGTCTCAGGTTGAGGTCTTTCCCATCACCTCCTGCCTGGTCCTTTTAGCTGGAGATGCCAGGGATTGAACCTGGGACCTTCTGCATGCCAAGCAAAGGCTCTGCCACTGAGCCAGGGTCTCAGGTCAAGGTCTTTCTCATCACCTCCTGCCTGGCCCTTTTAACTGGAGATGCCAGGGATTGAGCCTGGGACCTCCTGCATGTCAAGCAGAGGCTCTGCCACTGAGCCACGGCCTTTCCCCAGTGTTTACACATGAAAATGCCTTATACTGAATTAGAGCCTCAAAGGTTACGATGCCGAGCTGCAGACCAGAAGGTCTTTAGTTTGGCAGTTCGAGACCCGAGTGCCGCATGACAGAGTGAGCTCCTGTCCCTGGCCCCAGCTCCTGCTAGCCTAGCCGTTCGAAAGCAAGAAATTGCAAGTAGTTAAATAGGTACCGCTTTGGTGGGAAGGGAACAGCGTTCCGTGCGCCTCAACGTTTAGTCATGCCGGCCACACGACCACGGAGACGTCTTCGGACAGCGCTGGCTCTTCAGCTTGGAAACAGAGATGAGCACCACATCCCTGGAGTCGGATTCGACTACCTTTCGAGCCTGGGAAACATTTACCTTTACCATTACTGAACGAGTGACAGTGTGGTGTTGTGCTTAAGAGCGTCAGACTCTAATCTGGAGAGCCAGGTTTGATTCCCCACTCCTCCTCCACATGCAGCCGGCTGGGTGACCTTGGGTCAGTCACAATTCTCTCAGAGCTCTCTCAGCCCCACTTACATCACGGGGTGTCTGCTGTGGGGAGAAGAGAAGGGAAGGTGATTGTAAGCCACTCTGAGACTCCTTCAGTTAGTAGAGAAGTTGGGTATAGAAACTTCTGCTCCTCCTCCTGGCATTTCCTCAGGGATTCCTCCCTTTCTGACCACTATTTTGAATTGTTTTTATGTTATGCATTTATTCTGGCCCACGTTTTAGCTGTTTTAAGGGTGTGTTTCTTGTCGGTTTTAATTATTGTTACTATTTTATTAGGTATGTTCTGTTAAGCCACCTCGGTGAGCCTTGTTATGGCAAAAAGGCAGGGTATCGATTGGCTTAAATAAATCTTATAAATTCTCCAGCAAAATAATTTAAAAGAGAGGGTACAGTGCAAGATAGCTGAATTAGAATTCAGCACACAGTCGGCTCAACGAGAACTTGGGATTCCTCAGTCATTACAAGCGTTAATTCGTTTAGCCAGAACTATAGTGATTTCCAATTACTGCTTTTGTCAGTGGCCAGGATTTTCCCATTGCATCAGAACTGTGTCGTTTTCTATCTCCCTCTGGACTTCTGCATTTCACGACCTCTGATCCTGCTGTATACAATGATTTCTGCTCAACCTCCTATCTAAATGTTTGGTTTTTTTGTAGGTAACTTTATTTATTTTTTTGTTACACCTAAATAACTATAAAAGATAAGAAAAGGGGAAAAAAGGGGGGAAAAATAACAAACCCCCGGGATACAGGACAGTAAATGAAAATATAACTAAAAACCCAAGAAAGGAAGGTCTTAAACAATTAGTACTCAGTTAGTTATAAAACACATAGCTTTTTGTTTAAAACAATGAATTTAGGAGTTAGTGAGTCCAATTTTAGTAATAATCTGTTATCTTCTCAAAGTGTGCAAAGTCTCTTTTATCTTCTTCAGTATAACTCTTTGAGTTTTTGAGGGCTACTTGGGAACTCTCAGTCGCAGATCATATGTTTCCCTGGCCAAGCCTCCTTCTGCTCCTGCTGGGTCTTCGTCCGTTTCTTCTGTGCTAGCTGCTGTTAAGCCACTCACATCTGGCTGTTCCTCTTCTTTCGCTCCGAAGAACTGCTTCAACCATTCTTCTGCTTTGAAAACCGAATCAATCTTTTCTCTTTTCTCTTTATATTTAAATGTTTGACCCAGGATGACCCCGGAGCTGTAGGAAATTTGGGTTATTTGAAGCGTTGAAATAAGTTCTTTATAAGCTTTTCTCTTCTGTCGAACCTCAAACGGTGTGTCCTTTAGGACCCTGATGTTAACTGCTCCCAGTTGCAAGGGTTTGGCCGCTGTCGCTTTAAGAATATCATCTCGTGTTTGTCTTCGGAGAAACTTGACTACCAGTTCGCCCGGCATGTTGTTTTGCTTAGTATATTTAGAGTAAGCACGATAAGTCGCCTCGATCTCTGCCGCCGCTTCTGTCGGTGAACTGCCAAGCGCCGATGCGATTAGGTTAGTTGCCAGTTCTTTCAAGTTTTCTCCTGCTGATTCCGCCACCCCTTGGAACCTTAGGATCTTGTTAGATTTAGCCTGATCTCACCAGATCTTGGAAGCTAAGCAAAGTTAGCCCAAGTTAGTACTTGGATGGGAGGCCAGCAAGAAAGTCCAGGGTTGCTACGCAGAGGCAGGAAATGGCAAACCACCTCTGTTTGTCTCTTGCCTTGACCTGGATGGCCCAGGCAAGCCTGATCTCACCAGATCTTGGAAGCTAAGCAAAGTTAGCCCAAGTTAGTACTTGGATGGGAGGCCAGCAAGAAAGTCCAGGGTTGCTACGCAGAGGCAGGAAATGGCAAACCACCTCTGTTTGTCTCTTGCCTTGACCTGGATGGCCCAGGCAAGCCTGATCTCACCAGATCTTGGAAGCTAAGCAAAGTTAGCCCAAGTTAGTACTTGGATGGGAGGCCAGCAAGAAAGTCCAGGGTTGCTACGCAGAGGCAGGAAATGGCAAATCACTTCTCTTGTGTGTGTGTGTGTGTGTATTTTTGCATTTTGTATGTGTGTGTGTGTGTGTGTGTGTGTATTTTTGCATTTTGTATGTGTGTGTGTGTGTGTATTTTTGCATTTTGTATGTGTGTTCACGCACGTGCCCAGAAGTCATGACAACCTCTGCCAACTCCTCCTGGGGCACGGAGAACATTCAGAGAAGTGGTATTCCTTGGAGGTCTCCCATCCAAATACTTGCCCGGGTCGGTCCTGCTTAGCTTCTGAGATCTGACGAGATCGGGCGATCCAGACAATCCTCTTCTGTTCCTCTCTGGCCTTGACCTGCACGGCCCAAGCTAGCCTGATCTCATCAGCAATCAGAAGCTAAGCAGGGTCAGCCCTGGTTAGTACTTGGAGGGGAGACCACTCAGGAAGCTCAGGGTTGCTACGCAGAGGCAGGCAATGGCAAACCACCTCTGTGCATCTCTTGCCCTAACCTGGCAGGCCCAGGCCAGCCTG